AAAAGTCCGGTACCCTAAAGTTGGTGCATGAGTATAGAGACTGCAAGAATGCTTTGGAGTGGTTTTACATACGATCATGCCAGCTATGGCAATCATGTTGATATGGCGACGCCCGAGATCGCGTTTGACCTCATAAGTCGTACCGACGGCTCCATGTTCGACGTCTGAGTTCGACGCAGAAGTTTGCGCAACTTGCGTAGCATCCTTCTTTGATAGATCCATGATGATGCTCTCTCAGCATGGGAGCGCGCAACGGTTCTTACAAGTACCAAGCCGAAGCGGGAAGCTTATCTCACTTAGCAGTTCGGCATCTACGGGGGATTCAGTGACTCCGTAACCGTTGATAGCGGGGTTCTAGTTTCTGATAGGGGCTGGTCAGGGCGCCCGAAAACCGGCGATCGTGCTGGGGTGTCATGAAATGCCGGCTGCTATCTGTCATGCTTAGAACGCCGGTGGCCCCACCCTTCTCCAAACGGGGAGTCAATAGAATCCAAGAAGAGACGGGATGAGCGTGCAAAACATCAGCAACGCAACTTTCCAAAGGCAACAGAATGTCATCGGCCAAGGACGACTCTTTTCAATTGTACGACTTGCGGGTTGAGGTGGTTTGTCCGCCTGGCGAGCGCATCTTGTGTGGAGCCAAAGAAGGAGACTACTTTACTGTTCAAGGAGAGATGCTTCGTCTTCCCGAAGGACAGGGCATAAGCTTCTACAGCTTAGGTGAGTTTTAAGCACAAATGCTGTACACTTCAAGAGCTGATAAGGTTGGCATTTCAGCAGCAGTACTGCCTCTACTAGCGGCCAAGCAACGACCAACTCACGCGCATGACTGGATGTCCACGGATGCATTAATCGCATGTCCGGATCCGAATTGTAAATCTCAGCTCAAGATCATACGAACCGGGTTGCGGACCTTCAGTCATGCGGACACCACGGTGGTTGGTCTGGAAGGAAACTCCTGAGCTTTGGAGTGAGATATACGCATGACACATCCGTTTTCCGTGCTTGACTCGGCGCATCGACTATCACGAGATGGTGTTAGGAGCCTTGGCGGGGACAAATTTGTAGGCGTAAGGGCTTCAAGCGCACACCGAGCATATGTTCGTAGACGTGTTGTTGCGCTCAACACAGTCGCGATATCGATATATCCAGCTTTTGAAGCGTCGCCGCGTCACCAGAGACTGCGGACAGCTCTCCAGGTAGTTCCAATCAATGTCACCAGTATGATCACCGTACCCATCATCATCATCTCGATCGTTATGCCAGGAGCTGGTGCGCCAGCCACCATGCCTTCAATCGCGCGACGATGTTTGCATCTCGCGGTATATCCAGGACATGGAAGTAACACGCGTGTAGTAGCTCGATAGCCTGGGTCGCGGAAGTTAGGGATTGGTGGTGCGACGATGGACGCTGAGGCGATCGAAGGGACAGAAGCGTGCCCAGGTGGTGCGGCATGATGCGCGTGTTTGGCGGGGACGTCAGCCGAGGTAGGAGCACATAAGCGTATGCCAGTTACGGATATCTTGAAACCCGCAAGTCGTCCATATAGGAAATGACTGGGTCGGCATGAGCATGCAAGGCGTTCGCGTGGTGGGTTACAGGGAGAGATCGTACAGAGCTGGCACAGGAAGACGAGGCGAGTGCACGGGCGGGCTGCAATGACGCGACGCGCCCAGGATCGCAACCAACCCAAATTGCTCACGAAGGTTTACCAGACATTTCAAAACCTTCTCAAAAACCGTATAATTTACAAGCTAGGCAATTAATCTAACAATTGTCTGTTACCTGTATTCACTCCCGCAATCGCCCATGACCTTGAACACTTCCTCCCTCCTGCTCTTCTCCAGCACATCTTCAATACTCCGCTGATCTTCTTCATCAAGCTTCCATCCATACGTCTTCAAATTCTCCTCCGTATGCTCACTAACACCCATGCGCGCCCCAATGATGACTGCCCCCACGTAGGGGAAGTCGAGAACCCATCTCGTCGCGACGTTCGAGATAGAGACGTTGTGCTTGGTCGCGATAGCCTTCAAAGTCTGCAGCAAGGTCTGGAACAGATCCCAATCACCCCATGTCTGGATCATCTCGAAGTACTTCCGCTGCGATGGTGTCGTGTCAGGACCAAACAGCTGTGGTTCAGGTTTACCGAGCCATTTCTCAGCCAGGAAGCCTCCACAAAGAGTGCCATACGTGAGGAGTTTGACATTGTGTTGTGCGCAAATCTCGCCCATCCTGAACCGTGGCCGTGCATCGATAAGGGAAAATTGGACCTGATTGGTGACGACATCGATCTTACTGTCAATGACTTCTTGGAGACGCGCTGTGTCGAAGTTGCAAAGGCCCAGATGTCGAACTCGTTCGTCTTGCTGCAACAGTCGCAGCGCTTCGATATACTGATGGTCATTGTAATCTTGCCAATGAAATTGCAGAAGATCAACCTTGCTGGCGCTCATGCGCTGACACCGCTCTGTGACGTTGGCGCGGATGACTTCGGGGGTTACAGTAATCTTGTGGAAAACACAGTACTTTGTGGCACCGAAAACGGCCTCAGGGTCAGCTAGCGAGGCTCTCAGTCGTCCAAATATAACCTCAGCATCGCCGTAATGGTCAGCCATGTCGAAGGCAGTGAAGCCACCTGCAATGTACTCTGCAAATTGCTTGAACATCTGTGTTTGTGACGCAGTACCCCATGATGGACTAGACAGTTGCCAGAGGCCCGCGAACAGCTTCGGCAGCTCGATACCCTTGACTTTGAAAGTCTCGATAGAGGTCGATGTCTTCCGTCCGATGATTTGACTTTGGCAAGAGCTATTCTGATGGGCCAGTGTCGGTATACCGCTTTCGCGGCCAAGCATAGTCGCAAGAACTGCAGTGCTTCGTTCGAAAGGGAAGTCTTGCGCAGATGCAAGCCATCTTTGGTAACATCGTAGCAATGAAGTGAAGAGCGAGTCCATCACCGGTCTCTCCTCTTCGTTGAGGTCTCTGCTGCCACTATCGGACAACAAGCGCTTTTGTATTGCAGTCAACGCCTGCACGATATCACCGTCGACAGAGGCTAAACTGTGGTTGAGTTCTGTCGACCGAGGCACGGTGTGCTCGTCGACAAGGCTGACGGATTCGTCTACAACCTTGTTGAGTATTGGGAAGCTGTCGAGAACCAATCCGCATCCTATGGCGCAACGTAGGCGCTGCTGGGCCCGTGTGAAGTTCAAGGTTGAGGTAACTCCCTCGGCCGTCGATTGGAAGAGCTGATCGACGGGCTGATTGGCGATTTTCTTGAGATAAATTCGCGTCTGTTCTTCTAGGATGCTTGTAACTGATGGCTCCGTTGTCAAGATGACTCTGATCACACTTCGAAGTGCATCTGCCGGTAGATTTGCTATGATGGTATCGGTCATCATGTTGACGTGCGCCGTCTTGGCCTTCGACCGTGGTATTTGCGTCATGTTGATAGTTGCGTAGTATCCAGATGTGCGTTGAGTTGATGTTGACTTGAACTACCTAGGTATCGAGGAAAACCCCATGCGATGGTATGGTGCATGGATGCATAAGCTCATCAGGGCACGTACCATATGGCCGGCGACTCAATCTACATTAGAACACCGGCGATCTGCACGAACGATGAAAGTGGACCGAAGTCGCAGCATAGTGCTGAGTCCGATATGAGAGAGCCGTGCGGGGTCAGCGGTTCCGATATGTTCGTATCGCTGCAAGAGCTTCGGAAGTGGGCGTCGAGCTTTCTCCTTGAATGCCGTGGAGGGAAAATGATGGAGCAGGTATCGTGTCAGAAAGGACCTCGGGAAGGCTTCCAAAGCGGTTAGCGTATGAAGATAGCGATAAGACACCTCGATACCTTGCCCGTTTTGACACCACACTATCCAGATGCTACCTATCACTGTATGTCCATTCGAGCCCGATCTGACCTTAATGTCTTATACACACATTCACGATGACAGAGGCTGATGAAACGCCAAGTCGCGAGCCTTCGAAAGCCGCGTGAGTTCGCTCCGGGTTGACTGCAGTTACGCGACTGATCTCTTCTAAGACCACATGCCTGCTTGCAATGTCGCAAGGTCAAGATGAAGTGCCACAAGACGGCGCAAGATACGCGGTGCGTGAGGTGTACGCGTAAATCGTTGCAGTGTGACTTTCTTGGCCACCGGCGCGGTCGAAAGCACGGCTTCAAGTTTGTCAATCCTACTTTTTCCATACGACAGAAAATGGCTGATGTGATTTGTAGATTGCAGAAACCAAGCTCAACGGGTCAAGATAATGCTGCGACGACATCATGGAACGGCGAAGCTCAACATGTTGACCATGACGGTGTTGTAGCGGGTGATGCGGATACATTGACAGGCACACATTGCGCTCAAATACCAGCTTCTAGACTGCGTTCTCAACCCCAGTCAGCCCAGCGTTCAAGCCAAGATTTTTGGACAGAAAGCAGAGGCTTTCGACTTTCTGATATTCTCAACCGACAGATCACAAGAGGAGATTTCTCGTTGCAGAATGTGCTAAGTACTGAACACGGGCATGCGTCAGAAGAATGCACAGAAGACACCTCAGACAGTGATCCGGTTGTCAAAGGAGTAGTCAACCTTCATTTTGCTATGGAGCTATTCGCTGGATTCATGAAGCACCTCAACCCCTTCATTAGTCAACTGGACCCTTCGCTGCATACCTTTCAGTACGTCCGGGAGAAGTCATCGTTCCTATTCACCGCCGTTCTGGCGGCAGCGGCAAAGCTTTTACATCCTGCGCTGCGTAAGGATTTGCTTTCTCACGCTGAAGAGCTTTTTCTAGAGAGCTTTCGCTGTGGTGCAAAATCTGTTGAGACGGTCCAAGCCATATTGATCCTGACATATTGGAAAGAGCCCCGCGATAATCGTGCATGGTTAAATGTAGGCTACGCCATCAGGATGGCCATCGAGCTTGGTTGGCATCACCTGGGGAGTGACGGTATGAGACCTCCAGAGAACATGTCTGATCACCGGGCGATGCAATTTAGAAACATAGAAAGAACATGGCTGGTGCTGTTTGTCTATGACCGAAGGTAGGAATAGGGTGGTATCGATCTTATCACATGATACTGACATGTGTACAGCATCAGTTTGCAGACCGGCAAGCCATGGATGATCGAAAGGAGCAACTATCTAGAGTCAGTAAGCAGCTGGTATCTACATCCTCTTGAAATGGCCAACGACCGGCTACTTTGCGCATTTGTATCGCTTCGCGTTATCACCTCCACCCACTTCGAGATGATGACGACACAATATGCTCAACAGCAACGGCATGAAGCGTCGCGCTATCGGTCTACGCTACGTATGGTTGATGCAGAAATTGTGAATTGGCAAAAGAGGTGGACTGGGAAAGTATCTGAGCGAGGCGAGGACTGTCATGTAAGTAATATCCATGCACGAACTGATGCGAGAAGCGTACTGACTTCGCCCACCATTTCTTAGTCATTTCTGATCCCGTTCTACGGCAGCTACGCGCGGCTACTCTTATACACTTCCTCACTACGCGCATCCATCAAACTGAAGGATATTGTGACTTCTGTCGATACAGAAGCTATCTGGAACAGCTACTCAAGCGCGCTTGACATGCTTAAACTCGTTTCTGAAACTTCGGCATCTCAACTACTGTACTTCGCTCAGGACAGTGTGCATGTCATGATCGCCTATGCCGCAGTATTCCTCATCAAGGTATTTAATAACTCACCTTAGTAAAGCCAACTACTTACGTCGAATATAGCTCTTACTTTCAGCACCATCATATATCCGGTCCGAGATGGAAATGCCAGCGCTGGATAGCATTCGCAATGCTGCGACAGTATTCGAGAAACTTCAAGCGCCTACCAGCACAAGCTGCGCATTGCAAGCAGCGTTTTTGCGCAATGTTTCCACTCAGCACGAAGCAATGCAGGCGCGCCATACATCTTCGCTTTCGCACATACCTGCCATACCCGCAACGCACGCCGCAGCCGCGAACCCTACGACCCACCAACCTGCGCCCACCCATGCGCAGACTACGCAGAGGCCTGATATCACTCCAGCGTACAATGATCAGACCACCTTTGATTCTGCGTCTGAAGACGCGTCAACCTTTAATATTGACTTTGTAGACGACGAAGCCTGGGCCTTCCTATTCGCCAACGCTGGGTTTAATATTGGCCAGGGCGCATTCTTGTCACAAACCTGAATGCCGCTGGTATCATCTCGTAATCAATAGTTTGCGACACTACTGTATATTTGAACACTATTGATCATAGCCTATTTAAAGAACCATCTTTCCCTCTAGCTTGATATCGCTCGCCGAGAATCCGACAAGGAAGCCATACTCGCCATGTACAAAATCCCAGTCTTTCTTCTGCTCGGACCAGATCCTCAAATCATCCATAAGCACCTCCAGAAGAACATCTGTACTCTGACCTGCCCCGAGGTGCACTTTAGCAAATGCTTTGAGCAGCTTGGGAGGCTCACGCGCTGCCTCCGGATAGGACACGTAAAGCTGAACCACTTCCGACGCAGAGACGGCGCCAGTGTTTGTCAAAGTCGCAGTACAAATGATGCGCTCAGAGCCAGATGTGGCAGTAGAGTTTGCGAGATGCACAGCGAGACTGCCAAGCTCAAACGTCGAGTATGTGAGTCCATGGCCGAATGGAAATAGCGGATCGACTTTGTGCTCGTCGTACCACCTGTATCCAACGTTCAGCCCCTCTTCATAGGGTACGATCAGGTCTGACGTGATCTTGATAGCGTCATCCAGTGTCTTGGGGAACGTCACCGGTATTTTGCCGCTCGGACTGACATCCCCAAACAGCAGTCTTTCAAGCGCCGGGCCAATCTGCTGGCCTCCATACCAGGACTGCATCACGGCATCGACCTCATCGATCCAGGGCATGAGAATGGCCGAGTTGGTGTTGAGGATTACCACTGTCTTCTTCGAACGTTTGGCGATCCGAGAGATGACTGCGTCCTGGTCGCCGGGGAGAGAAAGACCAATGTTGCTATCAACACCTTCGGAATGCCTATCGGACGCGAAGATAATGCTGATATCAGCCTTTTCTGCAAGTGAAGTTGCTTCTTCGTCTCTTGCTTCGTTGCCTACATCGACTCCCAGTGTGATGCCGTATGCGCCGGTGGACAGCGAGTAGCCCATGGAATAGTTAAGGGCCAAAGAAACCTCATCTCCTGCTGTCAAGTTTGCGATACCTTGGATGGTGTTTCCAAAGTTCGCTTTCGACATGTTGGCGATGACTTGTCCGTTGATGTAAAGTATGGCATCTCCTTGGCCGGTTAGGGAGAAATGGTACATCCCGGTTGTGTTAGCTTTGAAAGTGCCTTCATAGACGCAGGAAAACACCTGGGGCCATGATACCCAGAGCTCCTTGGGGAATGAGGCTGAGGTGATGTTAGGTACAAAGTCGGTTTGGTTGATAGGTCCAGAGAAGTCTGTAGTCGTGTAGTATGTGACATTCAGACCACCGTCAACGAACATGCTAGAAGGCACCGTCGGAAATTGCCCGGTACCAGGATAGGCCTCAGCATAAGTGACTGTCATGTTGCCTTCTTTGCCAGCTCGCTGCTTCAATGCGTCGAAAGGCGACTGCACTACCATTGTCGTGTCGATCACGAAGCCTCCGTGGTTCTCCGTGACCTGGCTTTGGTTGGTCCCGTCAACACCATAGACGGCAACATGCCTGTACTTCTGTCGTGAAAGAGGTAGCGTGTAGTTATCATTCTTGAGAAGGACGGAGCCATCCTCTGCCATCTTCTGAGCCAGATCAAGGTGGGATTGTGTTCTTGCCACCGACTCCGCATCTCCAGTAACTGGATTGTCGACCATTCCAAGCTTGAACATATATCGCCACGTTCTTGCAACCATATCGTCGATGCGCGAGGCTGGTATGGTTCCGTTCTCGACAGCCTCGACCAGAAGGTCACCGTAGTAGGCTGGGAATCCGTATGAATCCTCGAGAGAACCTCCAGGCATGCTGATATCTAAGCCAGCCATTACGGCGCCAACCGTGCTTCGTGTGGAGAAGTACCAATCAGCGACAACGAAACCTTGAAACCCCCACTCTTGTCTCAATGTAGTGTTCAGAAGCCAGTCGTTTTCGCAAGCGAAAAATCCATTCAGCTTGTTGTAGGAACACATTATAGAAGCGGCATCTGCCTCTTGAACAGACGCCTTGAAAGCAGGCAGGTAAAGCTCGTGCAGAACCCGCTCGTCGATGTGGACGTCAATGGTATCCCAATCAGGACCCACTCCGAATCTATTAGTGTCTTGATTGTACCCAGCAAGATGCTTGGGACAAGCTAAAGCTCCTTGACTCTGGACGCCGAGGACACCCGCCACGGCCATTCGAGAGGTCAACCATGGATCTTCTGAGAAGGTCTCGGCTGCGCGGGCCCATAGTGGCGACCGGAGGATGTTGATAGTCGGTGAGAGAACGACATTGCGGCCCTTTGCCATATGCTCTTGGGCTAATGCTTGTCCGTAAGCGTACTCGAGGGTAGTATTCCACGAAGCCGCGGCGGCAATTGGGGCAGGGAAGGCGGTGACGTTGTTTAAGTTGTTTCCAACCCCAGCTGGGCCATCTCCCATGCAAATTGAGGGTACCCCGAGAGTCTCATTGCCAGAGATGTGTCCTATGCAAGGGTTGACTCCAGTTCCGTTGTCATCGAGCTCGGTATCGCCTTGTACCATAGCATATTTCTGGGTGTTGCTCAACTGGTCGAGGAAAAGTTGCAATCGCTGTTCGTTTGGCAGTGTTGGATCTAGCCATGGCCGATTCGCCAGGGTCTGTGATGATGCATGTACCTGCGTCAAGGTGTATAGCAAGCCTGTCCAGACCGTGATGGAGACATACATCTTGCGGTGAAATAATCGTCCCTCGATCGAATGTGGTAGACTTGAAGATAGCCAGAGTTAATGATTAAGTAGACAAGGTACCTACGTGTGCCCTAGGTGTTAGTGGGTTTTGCGGAGATATTGGTATGATTACTCCGCACTCCGCAGTTTGTTCCTGGGATATGTTAGCAGGCCGATAGAGAAGCCGAGATACCGGTATCGTGAGGGTTAGTCTGAATGAATGCCGATGCTGATAAAATCGACCAGTAATATTTTGAAGCACTACTCTATCTCTAGAAATGATCAGATTATCTGAGCCGGCCTCTTGTTATCGCCTAATGGCTCGTGTAGTGGGCCTGACATTAGCGTAGCTGGTTAGACGCCGGTGGTCGACATTGAATGCCAGTGTCCTCCTGCCCGAAAATGTGGTACTGGATCAGCTAATCCGACATGCGGCAGCAGATGTCTCCCATAACTCTCGTTTACTTCGGTACCAGCATTTCATCGCTTCGTATCATATACTGATCATGTTTGTTGAAAGTTTCACCATACGAGCTCGCGTCGTGTTCGATGTCGGCCGCCACAGCTCGGTGGTATCGGTAGGTTCACGGACGGTGTCATTTCGCTAGGCGATCGCGAGCTATTCGGTCTAGGGCGGATGGATGTGTCGCATGTCTGATCATAGGACGCAGGTGATGGATATAGCTGGAACAAGCAGCATAGTTGAGCGCAAAGGTGGGAGGCATTGCGGACGCCGGGAAGCTGGCGCTGGGCTGCCATGGGGGAGCGCACTTGGAGCCGAAGGTCACGTGCCGACGGCCGCTCGGTACCCGTGGACGCCGATGTCCGATGCTAGCGTTCTTTGGCCGCCATGATGCCGCTCGCGACCTTGAGATTGTGTCGCAGCTCTAACCTCAGCGCTATCACTCCCTCGCTGCCATGTAAATAGACAAGCGCCGGCTTGCTTCAGGGCGAGAGGAACTTATCACGATTCTCCGTTTCTCCTGTTCACCCCTTCCATGTTGCTTTTCCATCGGCGTCCACTGCGAACTCCAGGTCACATCACAGCTTTCGCTGAGATTCACAGTGTTTCCTTTATCATCATGCGCGCAGCTGTCTTGAAGAGTGTCTGCGTAGGTCGCTGACTTGTTTGCGCAAGATGGTCAATGGCGATGTATTGACGTGTTCGCCACTCAAACATACCTCCCTCCTCATCACACCCGGCGACCGCCCCCATTGATGGGCACATTGAACTACCGCAATACTATGTGAACCCTCCGCTGTTCGTAACATCCAACACTCCCAACTTCACGCATCTCCAGACCATCGAACGCAGCCTCAACACTACACATATACATATAAATGGAAGACCCAGGCTTGTATACATTTCTGTTCTTTCCCTCATCCTCTCGCTTCCTCTCTCTGTTGCTATATCTCTTAGGTGTCTCAAATCAGAGCCATCACATCTGCCAGCTCATCCTGACACCAGCTGCCACCCTCCGCTCTCTATTTCACACAGTAGTCTTGCTCACCGATGGCTGCTGGCCCTCCCGTAGGTCAACCCTGGCTCGCCAACGTCGGTAACAACCCCAACATCAACCGCGAACCACCTCCTCCTCCTTATAACGCCGGTCCTGCACCACCAGCTCACCATCCCGGCGTACCCGCAGGTGGCGCTCAAGTCGTCGTAGAACAGCAACACGCCCCCGTCTACGGCCCACCCCTCGGAATCGGCATCGGCATCGGCGGACCAGCATACGGCGTCCCTCCACCATTCGGTGGTGTCGGTATAGGTGCGTTTCCACCCGTCTTCCCACCTGTCGGCGTCATGGACCCCTTTATGATGGGCGGCATGATGGGCGGATACATGGGACCTGCTGGCGGTCCACTTGCTCCTATCAGTGCGGGCAACTTTCTTCCAGGTGCTCATCACGGTATAGGCTTTGGATTACACGCGGGCGGTGTACCGTTCCCACCGCCTCCTCCAGGCGCTATCGCCGGCGTCGTGCCTCCATTCGCTCCAGCAGCGCCTCTATGGGCGGGAGGCGGTCTCGCTTTCGGTAATGTACCTGCCATGGGTGGGGTTGTTGGTGGAGTCATGCCTGGTATGATGATGGGCGGCGGTATGATGCCTGGCATGGTGGCTCCTGGTATGGCAGGCGCCCAGCACTTCCGCCCCGCACCCATGTTCCATGACGGAAACCACGGACACCCAAACCAGCCTGCGCAGCAAGACGTCGGCCAGATCGCTGGCGGCATCCCCCCTGGAGTCATGCTCGTCGAGTCGGCCGAACACACAATCTTCTATCGCATCACGGGCAATCTCTGCCCTTGGCTTTCTCCTG